GCTTCTTCCCCCGCCGGGGCCGCGCGCCCCCAAGTGACCCGCCCCCGCCAATGGGAACGCGGCGCGCGCGGACCCGGATCAGGAAGCGCGCGGGAGGTGATGGATGCTGCGGTCGGGTCCCCGGCGGAGGGAGGGAGCTGGCGCTTTGGTGCCCCCAGCACAAGCCCCCCAACTTTGAGTCCCGCTGGGAATTGGGGGGCCCTCCAGGCTTCAATTCCCCTCGGACGCCCCGGCCGTGCCCCGTGAGCGCCCCAGTCCCGGCCTAGGCCTCGGAGCAGCCAGGCGCCCGCGGCCCAGCGCTGACCTCGGGCCCCGCCTCGCCCGGCCCGGCGTCCTCCCGGGTTCGAGGCCGGCTGGGGGAGGGAATGGGTTGGGATCGAGGAGATGGTCTCATTTTAATCCTGTCCCCGGAATAAAACGAATGAGGTCGATAGACCCGTTTTCTCCCCCGCTAATCCCCCTGCCCACCCTCTCGCGGCGCCTGCGCCCGGGTCCCCGCTCCGAGAAGCCTGGCAGGAGCCACGAGAGCGGGTGGCTGAGCAGCCGGGAGAAACCGGCCTGGAAACGTGCCGCTAGGCCATCCCGGTGTGGCCGGACGGGCGCGTTTCATGCTGCCTTTCTTTTAGCGACAAAATCTGATGGCGGGGCCGGGGGCCTAAGGACACTCAGAGCCTTCTAATAGCACCTCCTCTGATGGAGGTGTTGATGTGAGAGTTAAACACTCGCATTTTCTAGGCGCGATTGGGAGACAGGAGGTGGTCAGGGGTGGGGGATGGATAGGCGCGGCGCCAGCACAGAACTGAGCCTTGAAACCAGCAACGTCCCATTTCAGAACAATTCCTGAGCAGAAACAAGCGACGGGGAGAGCGCACTTTGCCCCGTCTGATGGCCGGCGAGTCTTGTCCCGCTACGAAGATTACGTTTTGTATTTTGGACGCTGCTCTCTCAGACTGAATCTCAGGGTAAAGTTCTGTTTGCAGGACAGCCTATCATTTCTGCATTGCTGGAAATTAGCATATTAACGATAATAGTAGCTCTGGAAAAGGGGGAGAGAGGACTGTTGCCTGCCATTTGGTAATTGAAATGTGATGGGTAAACTAATTACACCATTATTAACAAATAAATTACTTATTAATTCCACCTAATGTTGATCTTTGCATTAAATACTGATGCCTTACTCCTGTTGTGTACTTTCCTTTTCTGGGTCACAGACACACCTAGATCCTCTACTTTTCAGCCTAGATGAAAGCACTACAAGCTAGAATAGTCATTCTTCTAAAATACTTCCATATTGGCATGTACAGCCAGGACTTTTTTTCAGCTGGTACATCTTACTTGATTTTTCAAAGAGCAGTATAAACAGCCTTCTCACAACTGAGTCTGGAAGGCAGACAAGGAAAGCTATAGCCTAAGCCTGGAGACACTTCAAAAGGAATGTCAATTCTATCTTCATTTATATCGGTTACTCATATGAGTTACTAAATGCTGGAATATCCATTTGATGGATAGTCATTTAATGCTTAGCCACATAAAGCCTATTATATGGGACTAATCTTTAAACTAATTTAGGAAAAGAGGTTTAAAGGGGGATCATGTTAGCTTTTTAACTGGAATCACCCTGAAGTGGTACAAAGAGGTTTTCCACATTGGCTGTGTGTCTGTGAAGAGTGCTGTCCATCGACATGGGGTACCCTGAATTTTTTTTTTAATGAAATCTGAGCCACAGACAGAAATCAATGCTGAGGGTAATCTTTAGACATTCTCTCTAGATTCCCGGGGAAATCTAGCCTGTGATACAGCTGCCTAAACCAATATCTCTCTACAGTAGAATATATATATATATATATATATATATATATATATGCTGAATATATAACTTGAATAATATATACATAATATAATTTACAAAATTGGGCTCGCTAAGCTTGCAGGAGGGGAGGAACATGACAATGAAATTTTGCCGTCATTCTCATGGCATCAGCCTTGAGTACTAGGGTCTTAACCATGTTTGTTTAATGTTATTTACAGACACAAAAACACAAAGTTCATGTTGTTTAGCCTCAGAACCTTCTACCAGGTTTCTATTTTAAAGTATTAACAAGGCATGGGCACTGTTTTGTATATGGTTAGCCTAAACGAGTTAACTGCCCCTGTGTTTCATGTGGTTATATTACTTTAGGAAGATGGGCTTACACAGAATCCCCCAAGGCCTGTAACTTGTCTTTGTGGTTCCTATCATAAACACAAACGGAGCCAGGACCACCAAGTGTTATCTCACACACCGACATTTTGACATTTTACTGCAAGATTTATGGCTGTAATAAACAATCTCAGTACCTTTTCTGATCCTTCCACAATCTCCCTGTGCAAGCCACAGCATCATTCCATTGAATCAAATAATCTTTTGAAAAACATTTTTAAAAAACCACTTCTTGCCTTTACATAAGATCCAAGACACCAAAGTAAAGCCAGAAAGAAACTAACTCAATTAATACATAAACCGAAGTTTACCAGCAGCATCTCGCCCGAGAAAAAGATGGGATGCTCTGAAATGGAGCAGAGAGGGAGTGTGCTAATCTTCGCACACCAACTGGCTCCAGTTCCAAGCAGGATGGAAGCATTATCCTTTTCTTGGTAAGCACATTTGCTCATTTCCACGTGCAGGGATAACATATATTCCCAACAAAGGCTTTCTTAAAATCCCATTAAATGAAACAACTTTTCATCATGTCCTCGAATCCCAGATGGAGAAGGAGAGCGAAGGGAGTCCAAGGGAGAGGGAGGGCGAGAGGAAGGCAGGGTTTGCAGCCTAGTTTGAATCTGATTTGAATCATTTAGAATATCTTTGGAATAGCCTGCCCTCTTGAATGCAACCCTGTCCCAAGATTCAAAGTGACCGAACAGTGACACCGTGTGCATTTTGTTTCTTATTAATCTTACACATTGACAGTCTTTGTTAAATCACAAGGCGCGCCCTTCACCAGCCGACATTTTCATATTTGTTAGACGCGCTGACCTGAAGTTCACCTCGGCCTTGGACTTTGCGCTTCTAAAAGGTCTATACAGTGTCTTTTAGAGAGCAGGGTCTTTGCCCAGGTCACTCCTTCTCAGGGAAAACCAAGGAGGGGTGGGGGAGGGAAGCAAAGGAAATGTAAACGTTATGGAATGTATTGACTGTATTTGTCCTTTGTTCTTTAGAATGAGAGTCCCTCAGACTGACTGCTCATCTCTGGAGCACACGCGGGAATGGCTGAATTTCAGAATGCCTGATGGTGGCCTTTGAGGGCTCTCCCCCACCTACACTAGGCACATGATTTTAGACAAGCAATACTTTATCGTCCATTTGAACCATTAATTGTTTGAGGGTAATTTCCTTGCAGTAGTTTATAGCGATGAGCATGACCCAGGCATAAAGACTGAAATTTATACTTGCATTATATATGAATTTTCACCAGGATTGTGTAAGAGGCCTAATAATCAAGATCCTCCAAATAAAAACGTATGCACTCTAAAAGCAGTAACTTCTTCAGGTAACTTTTTCTTTTACTTTAAAAACTGGCGAAGAGGTGTCTATGATTATTGAATCTGACATGTTTCTAAGGCGTGGGACATTTTTAACCAATAATACAATAACAAGCTTTTCTCAAAGGGACACATAATTGTCTTGGTGAGTAATAGCGGGGGTTTCAGTTTTCTCCATTTTGCTAGCCCAGATGTGGTGAAGTGTTCACTGCTGTAACAGCAATCACCACAGTTGTTCCCTTTCTTGTTTTCATCTGGCACACCCCCATTTGGCTTCAAGCTCTTGGCCAGAGTGAAAACTTTACACATCCAACAGTGGAAGCAATCTGATTACTTCCACTACGGCACTGTTTGGGAAATATTTACCACTGAATGTCCCTGGCACCAGCAAATCCAATCAACCAGAATATATTGGGATGATCTTACACATGCCTAACAAGACTCTGCATTCTGAGTAGTTAAATTAACGTATCTCTATAGTTAAAAAAGAAAAATCTAGAAATGTTTTTTCAACTTTCTCTTCTCTGCTTCCCTACAATGATTACTTAAAGATCAATACCTGGAAAAGGAAAATACGTCCCCCAGAAAATAGATTCTAATGGCACCAACACTTACAGCTAATATAGGTGCATGAGAAATAAAATAGTGTTTAGCTCTCCAGTTGCAACTCACACAGGAGGCATGGTTCCAGTCGGCTTCCTTAACACACTGTTCCCTTTCTTTCCCACTCTCCCACCCTTCCTCCTTAGCTCGCTTCTCCTCTCCTTAGCTTTTATTCCAAATGTGTTTTTAAAGAGTATTTTCTGGAGAACAGAAGTCTGTCACGGTGCTCTGACATTTCTGGATTCCACCTTTCTGCTCAAATGGCATATTCTTTACAGTGTGGCTATTCACTTATAGATTGTAGCATTTCTCTTACATTCAATGTAGGGTTAACAATAACCGTAATGAAAAATGTCCGACAACAGGGACATTTTCAGGGTACCAATGAGCATTTTCTCACTGCTGGAGGGGTGGAAGAATCCTGTCCCTTCGGGGGAGGGTTTTCGTTTCCTTCCTCCCCTTCCCAGCTCTAAGAACTCTTGGCATTTAGTGAGTGGCAATTTCAGAAAAAGCATTCTGTGTTTGAAAATTGCAAAGAACACATTTTGCAAGAAATGCCTGTGTTTGCCCTCCTCTCACACACTTTAGGGATCATTATGGGTACTAAAAAGAGAAATGGCAAATCAAAATCACTGTTTTCCAATAAAGGAAGTTTCCTGCCGGTTCTCTTGCCTTTGAAGGTACCACGGGGCATCGGAAACTTGCTACGTTATTTCTTAAAGGTCCACTGATGACTTCTGAGCTTTTTTATTTTTGGACACACCCGAAGACTCCTGGTTCTCCAGCAATCTAAGGTGTTGGTTTTTCAGTAATCTAAGCCTATTTACCTGCTGCTATTCCCTCAGAATGGGAGCGATAATTCAAGATGAAATACAGCATGTATTACTCTTGAAAAGAGGAATTTTCTATCCTTTTCTCCGTAATTGAGGTCATTCAACCACGAGGGTTCACCTGGAGTCCATACCGTGATACACGCGTCACTCCAAGCCATTTTATCTTTTGTGCTGATAGTCAAGATCGCAGTTCTAACATTGACATCAAACTCTGTCTGGGCAGATGACTAAGAGTGCTGCACAACGTAAACTTTTGACCCTCAACTTTTTGACCTGCAGTTGCAACGCACTAACCACAAAGATATACAAAGCTGTGCCTTTTCTCTCAGGGGAAGGCCCCCTCCTAGGATCTCAGGGATGCCCTACTTCTGCCACAGCCTTTTAGAACAAGAGGGTGCACTAGATTTGTGTGTGTGTGTGTGTGTTTGTGACCGTATTTCCTGTCAAACCAGCCTCCTACTTCTTTTTGTCAGCACTTAAAATAGGAAAGAGATTATTTTGAAATCACTCATCATTACATTTACAAGGACAATTGGAAGTAGGGGGAACCTCACAAATAGCAAAAGGAAAAAGAAGATGGGGGAAAGCAGGTAATGGAAGTTGGAGACATTTTTTCCCCCTTTATTTAAAAATAAAGACGCAGCCCTAATTGTTGGGCGAGCTGGCCCAGGCAGGCGAGTTGACTGTGAACTTGTACTAAAGCGTGCTCTGCTGGCGATTCCTAGGGTGTGCAGATTTATCTTCTCTGCATTTACTTAACCCGGCAGTGAACTGCGCGGGCGTCATTTGTTAGGTGATGACAGACTTCACCTCTAGCAAGGGCTGCTTCACAAAATCGCAATAATTACCCAATAACCTTCATAACAAATATTATTATTGAAAAGGCCAGTTTGTGGGGAGGGGGCATGGTGGGGGAAGGAAGCTTTCTTTGTGAAAAACAAACAAAACAAACCTAGGCAAATCTTCCAGTTCTGGGGCTTTGAATGGCCAGGACTGAGGCGCCCCACTCCTGTGTGGGCGGGAGCCTATGTTGACCCCCTTAGCCCTGTCTGGAAGCCCCATTTATAGTTTTGTCATTGACTAGAAAGAAATTCTGCCCTAGAAGCCAAAGGGATAGAGCCACACGGTTCTGTTCTGCACTCTCCATGGTGGGCAAACCTCAGGCAGACTCCCAAGCTAAGGCAGGGAGAGGCTTCGAAGGGCATCTTTTAAGCTAAAA